TTTTTTTTTTTTTTGGTTGCAGCCATTATTGTTGTTTGGCAGCCCTGGCTGGATTCGAACCTGCCACCTTGGGTGTATGTGGTTGGCGCCTTAGCCACTTGAGCCATAGCCGCTGAGCCATCTTATCATTCTTATTTGTAATTATGAATAAGTGAAGGTGGCTCAGCATGTGTAGCTCAAGTGGCTAAGGCACCGGCCACATACACCAGAGCTGGCAGTTTCAAATCCAGCCCGGGCCTGCTACAACAGTGACAAATGCAAAAACAACAAAAAAATAGCTGGGCATTGTAGTGGGCACCTGTAGTCCTAGCTACTTGGGAGGCTGAGGCAAGAGAATCGCTTAACCCCAAGAATTGGAGGTTGCTGTGAGCTGTAACGCCATGGCACTCTACCGAGGGTGACAGCTTGAGGCTCTGTCTCAAAAAACAAAAAACATTAAGTGACGGTATTAGTTTCCCAGAAAGTAAAAGATAAAATCTTTGTTAAAGTTTGGGTAGTGTGGTTAAATGGATCACTTTCCAATATTTTCTTGCTGTTATAAGGGATGGCTTAAAGAGTAGAGGATGGATCAGAACAGAATTAAACCTTGACCTTCTCAGTTCAGTAGCTAACTAGGTATTTCTGAGCCTTTTTCTTCATTTGTAGAAAGAGAAAATAATAACCTGTGCTGTCTATCTGAGCGTTGATGTAGGTTCCTGAGATAATATGTATGAACATGCCTCTGAAAGGTGCCGCAGACACAGGGGAGGTGCTGTGCCTTGCGTAGTAGTCTTTCATTGATTTATACTCTGTGTTTAGTATATCCAGTATTTCTATAATTTAATCAATACCTTTAAGTCCTGTATTTACAATAAAAAGTTAATATTTTTGAAGCGAGAAACGTCACAGTTTTCATGTCGGTGGGGTGCATGGAGAAGTGCTACTTAATGTGTAAATTATTTGTCTTAACCCTAATACGCTGTGTGTTTTGCCCAGGGAAGCGGCAGTGTGGATTCTGTGCTTAGTTAATAATCTATGATATTTTTTCAAGTGATTTTGTCAAGGCTTTATGATTTTCTTTTTTTTGAGACTTAGTCTCACTAAGTCACCCTCTCTAGAGTGCTGTGGCGTCACAGCTCACAGCAACCTCAAACTTTTTTTTTTTTTCAAACTCTTGAGCTTAAGCAGTTCTTTTGCCTCAGCGTCCCAAGAGCTGGGACTACAGGTGCCCACCACAATGCCCAGTTACTTTTTTGTTGTTGTTGCAGTTGTCATTGTTATAGCTGGCCCGGGCTGAATTTGAACTTGTCAGCCTCGGTGGATGTAGCTGGCGCCCTAACCACTGAGCTACAGGTGCCGAGCCATTGGCTATATGATTTTTGCGTGATAATTTTACGTGCTGCCTTGTTGGCTGAGCTGAGGCCTACAACTATGTTTTGTTTTATTTTTTATTGAAACAAATGACAAATTTTATTACATGAGTTCATTTTTATGTCCAGGCACATGGATAAAGAAATATATTTTCGGCTCGGCACCTGTGGCTCAAGTGGCTAAGGCGCCAGCCATATACACCTAAGGTGGAGGGTTCGAATCCAGCCCGGACCCGCCAAACAACAATGACGGCTGCAACCAAAAAATAGCCAGGCGTTGTGGTGGGCACCTGTGGTCCCAGCTACTTGGGAGGCTGAGGCAGGAGACTCGCTTGAGCCCAGAAGTTGGAGGTTGCTGTGAGCTGTGATGCCACAGCACTCTACCCAGGGGGACAGCTTGAGGCTCTGTCTCAAAAAAGAAAAAAAAAGAAAGAAAAAAAGAAATATATTTTCCATGCAAAATATTATATACATTAAATAACATACAGTGGTAACAATGCAGTGTAGGTTTCCAGGGAAACAGACTCTGTGATGGAAATATGTAAGCAGGAAGTGCTTGTCTAGATGAGGACCAGTGAGAGTGAAAGAATGAAGCAGGATAGCCGGGCAAGAAGTTGAACTCTGTGTAAAGTCCTGACAGATATCTCAGTTGATTCTTACTATGTATTTTTTTTAATTTAGATTACTGTGAGAGTTCAGATGATTAGTTACATTGTGGACCTTTGTTAGATAAAGTTCAAGTTACAGTTGTGCCCCTCGCTGAGAAGATGTACCATACACCCCTACGTTGTGCCAGTTAAGTGAGAGCAGAAACCAGAAACAAAACCCAAATAGCCAAGGCAATTAGTAATAGAAACAAGTCTGGAGGCATCACTCCACCAGATTTCAGGCTATACTACAAGTCCACAGTGATCTGAGCAAAGTGGGATTGGCCCAAAGTAGAGACATAGATCTATGGAACAGAATAGAAAACCTAGAGATGAAACCAGCCTCATATTACCATCTGATCGTCAATAAACCAAACGAAAGTATACACTGTGGAAAAAGAATCCCTATTTAATAAGTAGTGCTGGAGGAACTGGGTAACCACATGTAAAAAACTGAAACTGGACCTGCATCTTTCGCCACTTACAAAAATTGATATCTAATGCACAAAATGACAAAATCCTGGAAGAAAGTACGGGAAAAACTCTTGATATTAGCCTGGGAAAAATTTTATGAAGACTCTATTGGCAATCTCAACCACCACTAAAGGGAATATATGGAACTTAAACTAAAAAGCTTCTGGACAGCTAAAGACACCACAGTTAAACAGCTTTCAGAATGGGAAAAGATATTTGCATGTCACAAATCTGAAAAAGGGCTGATAACTAGAATCTACAGAGAACTCAAAGTAATCAAAAAAAGACCAAACAATCTCATTTATCATTGGGCAAGAAATATGAACAGAACCTTTTCTGAAGAAGAACTATGTATTTTTATGTAGCATAGTTTATCATAATATGAAAAACCTGAGATAATTAGCTAGAAAGCTTCTGAGCTCAAAAGGGGAAACTCTACTTATTTTTTCCTCCATTTTTAAAAATTATTTCAACAGTATCCACTACTATTGTAATTTTTCTGGGTTACCTTCTTTGTTACACATATTTATGCAGGTTGACAGCTTTGGTTGCAAAATGTGGAGACTTTGAGTGCCCCAAGAAAACATAGTTTTAGTGCAGGGAGGCATGGCAGAGCCCTCAGGGGCTACTGTACTCTGGAGCATGTCCCTTTTTACTATCACTGAGTCTTAGGACACACAGTCACATGTCCTTAAGGCAGTTTTCATGATCATCCCTAATCAGGCTCCATCTTTTTGCTAAGAACAGCTTGCTGTTCTTGATTCTGGGGTAACAGCAGAGAAGTTTAAGCTGGAAGGGGAGGTTTTGTGACTATGGGCAGGCCCCGTGACTGCTATGTTGTGATTATAGTGTACATACTGCTTTTTTTGTAGATGTAAAACCCAGTCTTTTCCAATGCTTTAGTATAGTTTCATTGATTATTTTAGAAGGTTGTTTACTTGCTCATCGTTTTTGTTCCATAGTCTGTGTATTTTATTTCTTTGATTAAAGTTATTTTCCAAGGATGAACTCTCACAATGTGATAACTCTTTCAAATTATTAATATTATTTATTAAATCATGATATGTATTGATTTGCATGGAATAAATACTCATTAAATTGCATCACCATCAAAAACTCGTTTCCTGTTTCACTTAGTTTCTTTAGCATTGGTAATTAATTTTTTTTTTTTTGGAGACAGAGTCTCAAGCTGTCTCCCTTGGTAGAGTGCTATGGCATCACAGCTCACAGCAACCTATAGCTCTTGGGCTTAAGTGATTCTCTTGCCTCAGTCTCCCAAGTACCTGGGACTACAGGTGCCCACCACAACACCTGGCTATTTTTTGTGTGTATGTGGGGGGTCCTACAGTTGTCATTGTTGTTCTAGCTATCATTGTTTGAACCTGCCAGCCTGGGTGTATGTGGCCGGAGCCCTGCCCACTGAGCTATAGTGCCGCCAGCGTTGGTAATTAATAAACTGTTTTTTATAATTTAGTAGGTGAGAAAACCTGAATTCATTAGTAGCTATGTTTTTAAAATACAGTGTTTGTTTTTACTAGAAGCAAGATTGTTAGTGAGTTTTAAATTTAAACCTTTTGTTGGCCTGAATGTTTATATATGTAGTGTCATGTAACTTTTAGTTCAACAACTGATCATTTCTACTTATGCCTTGTTAATGAAATCTTATAAAGTAGGTATTTAATTTGATTAAAACAGTTAAGGTTTAAAAGTACAATTTTTTGAATAGGTTAAAAAGCACGTGGTGTAAAGATTAGATTTCCCTGTAGGGCCCTATTTTCATCCCCAACCCTGAAGCAGCACGTCCTGTTCTATGTATCTTTCCCGAAAGAGGCTTGTGTGTGTGTGTGAGATCCTGTCATCAGCCTTTACAGGATTGATAGGAAGATTTATGTGTAAATAGGGGTCTGGCACATAGTGAGTGAGAACTGCGTTAGTATTTGGTAAACAAATAACATGAATAAAACTGGCTGTAAAAGATTTAATTTGAATGGGTTTGACTGTACTCAGTGGTTGCCAAGAGTTCTCTGCAGGCACGGCCTGAGGAGGGGGCTAGGCTGTAGGTCCCTGTCACCCGCACTGTTGTGTTGTATCTCTGCACTTCCGAATGAGATTTTGTTTGGAGAAAGAGATCTAAGGTGAGTAAACACCAATGCAGACACTACTGGTAATTGTTTTTCTTTTAATTTTTAGATGTTTCTTACCGTGTACCTCAGTAACAATGAGCAGCACTTCACAGAAGTTCCAGTTACTCCAGAAACAACATGCAGAGATGTGGTGGATCTGTGCAAAGAACCTGGCGAGAACGACTGCCATTTGGCTGAAGTGTGGTGTGGCTCTGGTGAGAGACCCCGACAGCCCTGTGCTTTGTCCTGCTGTCTCGTGTTAATGCTGACTTATAAAAGCAGTGCCGTGTGGACGCTCGGATTTCTACAGAGAAGAGCTAGAGAGTAGTGTGTCCCTCAAAAGGCAGTGTTTTCAGGCCAGCTTTATTGTCATGTCCAGTATTTTTTGCTGTTTTTATTGTTGGTAATAAAAGGAAAACACCACAGTATGAAGTAAAGAAGGTCGTCTGGGATGCTGTGGTCAGATGGATGGTGCTCAAAAGTATCTTTTGTATGTTTAGGCTTTGCTTACTTAGAAAGCTTAGGTATTTTGAGTGGTTTGCCCTCTCCAGGCTTTTGTAGGTTTTTAAGGAAAGCTCCTCAGTGTTGAGGAGCTATAGTGGCAGATGGCAGTGGTGAACTCATGCACGTTATTGTAAGCCTTGAAATCAGTCCCTCGGTGGGGTTCTTTGGAGTTCTAGAATGGGACAGCCTGATTTCTTTTTGGCCCTGTAGGAGTTGGTAGATGCGAAGTAATTTTTCACCATTTCTGCCTTGTTTCTGGACAGACTGGGTGAGCTCTCGCTGTTTCCTTTTTTTCCTTAGGGGGATGCCAACTGTACAGAGCAAGTTCCAGGCTATGTTAATTGAGTTCATTCCTTCATGGTATCTAATTTCAGCAGAACCCTTCTTTTCAAGCAAGTCCTTATATTCATCTTGGGTTGACTTTTCTATGGTTGGATGTTCTACAGGGTCTTCTGTACTCTTTCTAAATTACTTTCCTCTTTTTCTTTTAAGGAGGAGACCACATTAGAACAATCACATTAAAAAGCCCAAGTGATGGTAATGCCAGAAACTCAGTGGGTAGGGCGCTGGCCACATACACCCAGGCTGGCGGGTTTGAACCCAGCCCAGGCCAGGTAAAACAATGACAACTGCAACAACAACAACAACAAAAATCGCTGGGCATTGTGGCAGGCACCTGTAGTCCCAGCTACTTGGGAGGCTGAGGCAAGAGAATCACTTAAGCCCATGAGTTTGAGGTTGCCATGAGCTGTGACTGCACAGCACTCTGTATCTCAGGGTGACAACTTGAAACTAAAAAAAAAAAAAAGCCCAAGTCATCTTTTTTAAATGAAAATTGGATAACTTCACTTTCAAGCTTAAAATTCTTTAGTGTCTTCTCATCCCCTTAGAAGACAGTGCAGATTCTTTATCTGTGACTGTGAAGTTCTGTAGGTTCGTTGTCTTCTCTGTCGTCTGCTGCCATTCTCCTCGTCATTCCTTCCCGCAGCTTTTAAAATATTCCTTGAGTAGATGCGCTAAGTTCTTATATTCTACCTAGAGTCATGTGCTGTAGCTCTTCCCACTGCCTAATTGCTGTCCTTCCAGATTTGTCATTTCTGGTTCCTTCTGGTCACTTGGATTTCAGCTAAAATATTGCCTCCTTGGAGAGGTGTTTCCTGAGCTCCCTGCTAAAAGTAACTGTGAAATTAGTTCTCAGTTATAGCACTCTGATTAATTCTTTGCAGAATGTATGACACTATCTGATTTTGTATATATAGATATCTTAGTTTATTGCCTCTTTAATACCTATAACAAACGCATTCGAATGCAAATTACCTAAGAATAGAGACCTTTTTTTCTTGTTCCTTCGTTGTTGTATGCATAGCTTGAGGGGAGTGCCTGGCTTCTAGTAGGTGCTTAATAAATATTTACTGACTGAGTAAATGAGCTTCTAGCTGCTTCTGGTAACCTCCAGAAGGTTACCTTGCTTTGTACTTTACTGTGATAATTGAATCTATCCATTGTATGGTTCCTCAGTTTCTCAGTTTCTCTCTGTACCTCACATCTCTCTGAGCCACCTACTCTTTCTTCTCATTTTTCTTAGGAAGAAGTGGTTGTTCTTTGCTAAGGCCTTAATATCTTCCCCCAAACTCCCAATTCCACCTGTTCTTTGCCTCTCTAGTGTCTTACTCATTGAGTTTAATAACGTTTACTAATGTGTAAAAGGTTTTCTTTCCTATAATTTTTTTTTCTGAGACAGAGTCTTACTATGCTGCCCTTGGTAGAGTGCCGTGGCGTCACAGCTCACAGCAACCTCAAACTCTTGGGCTTAAGTGATTCTCTTGTCTCAGCCTCCCAAGTAGCTGGAACTACAGGCGCCCGGCTATTTTTTTGTTGCAGTCGTCTTTATTGTTTAGCTGGCCCGGGCTGGGTTTGAACCCACTGGCCCAAGTGTATGTGGCCAGCACCCTACCTACTGAGCTGTGGGCACCGCCTGCCTCTTATAATTTTTTAATTTAAAAAAAAAATGGGCGTGGTAGCTCACACCTGTTGTAATCCTAGCACTCTGAGAGGCTGAGATGGGTGGATTGCCTGTGCTCCTGAGTTTGAGACCAGCCTAAGGTAGAGCCAGACCCCATCTCTAAAAAGAAATAGGCAGGTGTTGTGGTGGGCACCCATAATCCCAGCTACTCAGGAGGCTGAGGCAAGAGAATTGCTTGAGCCCAAGAGTTTGATGTTGCTGTGAGCTGTGATGCCACAGTACTGTACTGAGTGCAGCAAAGTGAGACTGTCTCACTTTGGATAATTTAAAAGATTTTAATGACCAACATCTAAAAGTGTTCTAGATTGTAAAAGAGGAAATAATATAAATACAATGACTGTCTTTCTCCTAGGCCCATCCTCTGATCTCTTGATATCATCACTTACGATTTCTACAGATAGCTTTTCAGACCTTTTCTGTTTGTTTATAAGTAACCATGAAAATGGTTTTGTGTTTTGTTTCTCTATTTTTTCTTTTTTTTTTTTTTTTTTTTTT